CTCAGCTCAGCGCTGAGAGGGAGTTCAGACGGAACGGAGCGGGAACAGGAGGTTGAGAGTGTGTGTGTGTGTGTGTGTGTGTGTGTGTGTGTGTGTGTGTGAGTGTGTGTGTGTGCCAGGCAGCGTGTAGGGGTCTAGTGAGGCAGGCCGCCTGCGCTTCGTACCCTCATTCCGTCCGATTGCCATGACGACCCCATTAATCAGCCAAGCTGGCACAGAGCAGGGTTCCCAACCCAGCCTGAGATCAATACACACACACACACACACACACACACACACACACACACACACACACACACATTTGTGTGTGTGTGTGTGTGTGTGTGTGTGTGTGTGTGTGTGTGTGTGTGTGTGTATTGATCTCAGGCTGGGTTGGGAACCCTGCTCTGTGCCAGCTTGGCTGANAAACCCTAGGGTTAAACCCAAATATTTTCAGATTTGTGAACAATATTTGAGAGAAATGGTTATTTTGTGTATATAGAAAATGTTTTAGATGTTTGAGTTCATCTCATGAAAAATGGGAGCAAAAACAAAAGTATTGCATTTATATTTTTGTTCAGTGTATATGATGCCTCAATCGTGGTGGAAGTGGTCCAGAATTTGACCAGGTCTTCTTATAAGTCTAATATTAAACCAGTCTTTGCTGGGCTCCCTCTCAAATTCAGAATCCAATTTAAAATCTGTGTGATCACTCGTGTCTTCTGATCAGGGCCTCCTGGCAGTTCCACTCAGAAGACTGCGACTTTGAGGTTGTGGCTTCCAAAAAAAGGAAGCTTGTTTTCTGTTTCGTTTTAGAGATCAATTACAATTAATCAAATTCCCATATTCATGTCCCATACACATTAACTTGAAGAATACAACATAATAAAAGCATTCAGTTCATTGTTCTCAAATATTTGTGTCATAAAACTAAAGTTTAAAGGGATGGTGAAGCATATACAGTATACTCTAGTCAGCTTACTGTTTTTCATTTATTATAGGAAACGCTGAAAGTGATCCTAAGACTGAAATACTTCTACCTCAGAGTATACATACGCTATTTATGAGGCTTCCTATACGCTGACTGAGCAAGAGAAGCATCACCCCTACAGTAGGAAAGCTTAATGTGGCAGTGTTACAACACTCTAGGCACAAAGTAGCATTTACTATGGCGTTTAAACGTTTTCCAATGATGGTTATGCAAACCCTCTGCAGGCTGTGGTACATCTCTCAATGCCGCCGATTTCAACATCACTTCAATGATGTACCTTTACACAGGACAACAAATGACCTATTTCTGTCATCTCATCAGCTCTTGGGAAATACATTGTAATCATATGATCAAAACAACATAATAAATGGATTGACAATAATTACTACAAATTGCTCTTGGTATATAAATATTTGCTAAGAGCTAAGAGTTAAGAGCATTTAAACTTGTTGTCACATGTAAACTGTGTTCGTTATTCTCCCGTCCAGGAGAGAAGCTTTAAAAGGAGACTAAATGGAGCCTCTGTGAAAGTTCAATTGGGTACTTTAATTAAAAAAGGCGCGGGTTGGTCACAAGCATGATATTGTTCAGTCAGACAAACAGCTGTGATCTGCTCCTCGTTAGGGAAGAGAAGAGACCCGATCCCTCGTCCGGTGCTGTTATATATCCTCTGCTGGCTCCTCCCCGCCAGCCGGCTCGCCTCGTCTCCAATGTCCGTTGTTGCATTTAAACAGAGGATTGGTTCTTTTCACATTCAATATATGCTTAACACGCCTTTTCTCCTCATATTCTCTTTCATCATTTTTCATGTAACACATTCTAAACGCTGTAATCAATACTCTAAAAAATACTTCTCGGCTCGTTTGGTTTCCGGATGTTGTCACATGCTAAATGCTAACCGTAGATGAAGGATTTTCAGAATAAAAGTTTAACTGCTTGTGCACAAGAATTTCTGGTTTTTCAGTATAAAAGAGCATTAAAACTGACGGCATGTTTAAACTACATTTCCCCATTAAAACATTGATTTTAATTTCTAACACACATTTCATGTTACCTTTTGGTAATATTGGTTGTCATTGATGATGTTTTCCTGTGAATGTCCCAGCTCTATTATTTAAAACAGAGTCTTTCCTTAAGTTAAGAAAGTTAATGTACTGTTTTTTACTCACTACTCATAAAAGTAGGACAAACATGCTTCCCTCTGAGCAAATGTGTCCAGCTGGGAATCCGGAAAAAAACGGCTCAGGCTATCTGAACTTATTTAACACACGGATAATATATCGTTTGACAAATGGATCCATCCTTTTTTGTTTTCATGTTCTTTTCTTTATATTCTTGATGTGTTCTATTTTGCATAAATGTCAGATGTAAGTAGGGCACCAACTGTTATCTGCCAAAATGGTCTGCACTCTCCATCACTGTCTTATATACTCTATCTCCTCTTATTTCTGGCATCCATCTTTCTCCCTGCCATTTATTATTTTGAAATCGCTCTTATTCTAATCTCCTTTTACTCCATCAGTGCCTGTGACCATTTTTCCCCACTCTCTTTTCTCATCTATTGTCTTTGTGTCTAAATTATCTTCTACTACTCCTTATTTAAACTCCTGCCATTTCCCTCCAACTCAGATCTCTGTTTGTGTCCTTAAAACCTCCATCTCTCTTTCTCCCTCTCACCCTCTCCTCCTGTCCGACACAACTTATGTCACCGCTGGCCATCTTGTCGATCTCGCCTTCATTCCCCACCCTCTCACTTCCATTTCTTTCACTTCCCTAAAGTTAACCATTGGGGACGGCCCTTGCTGTGTGTCTGCCTTTGTAGAAAGGGGGGGAAAAAGAGCTCTTGCTGGTATCGGAGAGATTTCTGTTTTCTGTCAAGAGCGGCCGTACACGCCAAAGGCACCTCATTGTATTTCAAAGGCTGAAGCAACACAGTGATAAGCAACATGAGAAAGCGGCGCAGCAGACACAATACGTGCAGACAGTGTTTTGCGAGAGGTAAAAAGGTGCTCATTACTAAAACAGTTTGACATCTCTGCATGGTTGCATATTAGGCTGGATGGAACACTTAAAAGGGAGTCAGAGAATAGGTACTGTTCTTATGGAGTGGATCTCTCACAGCTTACTCTGCTGGTTTGGGTTGAATCCCATTGACAATCTTAACTCTGGTACAGAAAAGAAGATTCTATATAATTTGTTTTGTTTATGACCAGTGATGTTAAGTAACTAAGTACATTTACTGAAGTGCTGTACTTAAGTACAATTTGAAGGTACTTGTGCTTTACCTGAGTATTTCAATTTGTTTTGCTACTTTGTACTACACTACAATTCAGAGGTAAATCGTGTACTTTTACTCCACTACATTTATTTGAAGCTTTAGCTACTTAGTTAGTTATATAATCAACAAGATTGTAGTTTCTC